ACATATACATATTTATATATACTGATGCCTGTGTATGTAGAGAGTTCTTGCTTGGCTACAGGCTGCTGCGTACTTCTTGTTAGTCGGCGGTGCCTTGTGGTTTCCGTACGATACTACAATGACCTACGATTAAAAAAAAACTGGTCAACGTGTGCCGTATTCATAACATTCGTGGTTGCTTGTGTGGAGAGGCGTTATCAGTAACATTCGATCGCTTATCACTGAGTACCATTCCCGCGCTGCGATCGTGAAGGTGATCCGGAACAAGGTGTCCGAGAACGGCAGCGTGGTGCGATTTTGTTGTCTGTTAAAAGCTCTTGACCCTATCGTGTCAAGCTTTTTTTTTTTAAGCGAAGGACCACTGTTACGTAACCAGCTTTTGTGCAATCACAATTTTCAAATTTCTTTTTGAGAGTGGTGTGTTTTTCTTTTTAAATGTTTCCGTGAAACCAACTTTTCAACAAAACTTTTTTTATTAAATATTATTTCACATGTTTGTTAGGGTGGCTGGATAGGTCACGTGGTACACAAAAAAGTAGTGCAGTTTATACCTGGTAATAATATGTTTAAGAACTTTCTTCAAAATGTATTTCAGTGTAATATATGTAATATAAACCAATTAAATTATGCACAGTTGCCCCCATGCTGCTAAAAATTTGTATTTTCAAGCTCCCAGGACGACATATTAAATGCCACTAACTGCTCCCAAGGAAGGTTCGTCTGCTCCAAAATTGAAATTTCGCTGTTCCAAAAACTGCTCCCAATTTAGTCTCAGCCATCTCACCCCTGCACATAGATAATTAAAAAATACTTGGGTTGTGCCGAGCACAGGTAGTAAGAAAAAAAGTGCCGCGTGGCAGTGGTGGAAGATAGGGAGGGAGCAAGCCGAGGTGGCACGTCGAATAATAAAAAACAGAAGAGATTCAGCGGGCAAGGAGTATGTGTCGGTTAGCGAGACTGCAGCGGATGAATGTTGTAGGGCATGGAGGAATGCCTTAATGTTGTAGGGGGTGCATTTATTACGCGGGGTAAAAAAATCTTAATTATGACGGGTGAAGTTGAGGGTGCTATTATATGCGAGTAAAGTTGGGGTTGCTATTATATGCGAGTGCGTTTATTATGCGAGTAAATAGGGTATTTTGCTGGGCAATGCGAGGCTGCAAAAAATATGCGAATGCGATAGCGGGTAAATGCGATAGTTGTGTTGTTGCAGTAGCGCTCCGGTCTACACCAAACACATAGTTGCACGAATTTTTCGAAATGGTTTCGAAATGGTGTGTAGCAACATTTACGATTTAAACGCGGCTTTCGCCAAGTTTTTCTCTCCACCACCTAGCTACACGACGGTGCACCTGCTAGCAGACAGATTCGTTGAACCGTTCTACACCATCTACTCCTGGTGACGTCAAGACAAGCATGGGGTTACTGTTACAACTGCTCAATCTTTCCCCATGTGCGGCCTGACGAGTCGCTTCCCGAATAAAGGAGAATGCGTCAAAGGAAAAGTAGACTGGCTGGCCACGACGGTGGGGAGGTGAGGGGTGCTGCCCATCAGCGAAGATATCGATGGGTATACTGACCCAGCAGGGAAAATGATCATAGGTATGTCTGAAAGGCATATGATTTGATCATTTGCAAGAGTACTGAAAAGTGTGAAGGGGAGATAACATGGGAGGTAGGAAGGCTGCATTCGCCGATAGATTATGCATTGATGTCTATATGGATGTATGATAGGCTCAGGGGAATACACATAGATGAATGTGGCTCCAGAAGTCTGGGTAGTGATTCCAAACGTATCAAGCTAAGCTCCGAAAGAGCAATGAAAGTGGGAAAGAGACAAGATGAGCAACTACAGGGGAAGTTTTATTCAGAACGGCAAATAGAAATAGCTACTAAATAAATTGAGAAAGTAATCACTGAGGATAATAAAACAGTGTGGATATACAGGAATATGATTGGACTGTTTGAGCTAGAGCTTGCTAAGGTACGTGATAAGTCGCCCAGGAAAAAGAGACACAAACCAAAGAGTCTGCGGGATGAGGAAGTTAAGAAAGCCATAGCAAAAGGTCGGGAAGCCTCTAGGAACACAGACATGCTAAGCAGCAGAGTGAACCAACAGATTATGTTGAAAGAAAATGGGATCTTTCTAAGCTGGAGAAAGGAAGCATCCTTTCTATCAATGAAAATATTAGAAAAAAGGGGCCGCAGTGACTGGCAGAAGTGCATAAAAAGGATAGAAAGGCAGCTGCAAATTTTTGGAACCATTTTAACTCCCTAAGTAATGAGACAAACTTAGTAAGACAGATGCTTGGGCTAGTTGGTGATTGGGAATCAACATATTTGCAGAGCGCAAGACTACGAGTAGTTATGACATAAGTACAGAAGAAGAGACAAGGAGAGAAAGAGCGCTGACTTCAACTGAAATTTTATTAGCGAAAAAGCTGGAAATATATACTGGAGGCCAATGAAATGCAAATGCTGGGTGATATATGTATCGGCATGCCTTCGCTTCCTCTGACTAAAACAGAAATCGAGTGTCTGGCTTTGACACAATAGATTGTGAATTTGTGCTTAGGTGTGGTGTTGTATGCGTATTATGGGATGATGATTGTCTTGCTGTGATGCAATAGGTCGCACGATTGTGCGGTGATGTTCTGTCACGAGTATATATTTCTAGCGTTTTCGCTAATAAAATTTCAGTTGATGTCAGCGCTCTTTCTGTCTTTGTCTCTTCTTCTGTAGTTACGTCATGACTGCTCGTAGTCTTGCGCTGTGCAAATATGTTGAGACAAACTTAGAGCAGAGGTTTATAACTACACCTCAAGGTGTTAGGCTAGAAGGGGACGAAGCTATTGAGTATAGAAGAACAAGGGTGACAGGAAAAGTTCAACAAGGAAGTGCCTTATGCACCTTAATATACAAGGATGGATCAAGTGGCGCAGTGGCTCCACTTTCACATTTAGATTGGGAAACGGCTGGGAAGAGAGTTTCCAGTAGTACATCAACCAGCCCTTTCGGTTTTTCAATCATGCTGATAAAGGAAGTAGGTTCCAAGTCTAAGCAAAATTTGGGAGAGGCAGTGAACAAAACAACAATTGATAGTGAAGTCCCTGATGGATCGAAACTTCGCATTATGAACATGATCTGTAAAGGAAAGGGAGACAAAGCTGACGGAAACAACTGCCGTCCTATGACAGCGACATCAGTGGCTTACTGGCTGTGGATGCAGATTATAAAGGAAAGACTGCAGGCATGGATAGAGGATGAGTGAGTGCTGGGGGAACTGCAGAATCGATTTCGGAAACAAAGGAGATCGGAAGACAATCTGTACTTACTGTTGTGAGTGAAGTGTGCTAGTCAGATGATTTTCAAATTTGGCACGGAAGATGGGCTCCTGAAACTGAGTTACCTGCGCCAGTGCAGTGAACATTGGCGATTGAAAAAGAAGAGAAACTCAAGAAAATAGTTGGCAATATCCAGAGCCACCGCATAGAAAAAAGAGGAAGAATCGTGCTGGTGGTTGGAAATTTACAAATTCTACTGCCACACGCCTCGTGGCCGATTTTTCGTGGTGGGTAGAGTCATTATTCTGGAAAGCATCATCATCAGCGGCTAGGGTGTGGCGTGGTTCTAGTGTTCAAGCTAAGACAGCGCCGCAGATGGCGTCGTCTACCGACAGCGGGAGCGAGCCGTCTGGCTACAGGCCCGAGCTTCTGAACTCACACTACGGCGGCTTCCTCGCTGGACTGTTGATGGGCGTGAACCGCTCATGAGCCGTATCTGTCTCTTCACGCGTCCAGACTACAACATAAGAACCTTATTGGTTGCCCTCGAAAGACCGTTTATACTCGTAAAGGTATCCCTCGTTAAGGAGAACAGCGTCGATATTCTGTCTCCCTGTGCCTGTCAGTTTACCTTTTGCGCATTTTTGTTTTACGTCCCAAAACCACTATATGATTATGAAAAATACCGTAGTGGAGGGCTCCGAAAAGTTACACCATCTGGTATTTTTTATGAGCTCTGACATCGCACAGCACACGAGCCTCAAGCGATTTTGCCTCCATCGAAATGCTGCAGCCGGGATCGAACCCACAACCTGCGGGTCAGTAGCCAAGCACCCTAGCCACTCTTCCACCGAGGGGGCCATTCTTGATAATAATATAAACTATGATATAATATCTGGGATTTTACGTGCCAAATCTACGATATGATATTGGCCATTTAAAGCTGCTAAGATATTTTCAACCTTCTGGAGTTCTTTAACGTGCAGTGACATCGCATAGTACACGGGCTTTTATCGCGCGAATAGGATTGCCTTGTTTGCTGCATTCATCATATTTCTTGCACTAATATGTGTCACTCAGTTATCCGCCACTAATCCAGCTAAAGTGATGCAGCCTATTTATGAGAGCATGACAAAGCACTGATCAGAAACACTCAAAAGTACCGGCGCAGATAGAGCACTGTAGCTGAAGGAAGCATTGGCAGAAACACCTGTGTCGCCGATAGCTAGCACCAAAGCCGATGCGGCGGGTGGAAAGGGAACTAGTGCTCTCACAGGCGAAGAGGAGCATTCGGCGGGCCGTATGAAAGAGGGAGATTGAGCGGGCGTGGTACTGTAAAAGGCTGGAGAGGTGCAAGGGCTCATTTTTATTTCATAGATTGGCATACCCGCTGTGCATAGCACTGCCTTGTTTGGCTTTTGGGATTTTCTGGCATACTGAACTTCATGGGTTTGTCAAAAGGGTAGCCTGGGGCCCCTTTAAAGGGAAGATAAAGGGCATAGCAATTTTACATAGCTACTGGGGTGATGCAAGCACTGAGTAAATGGAGCAACAGCCTCCTACTAAAGCTGTGTATTATGCACATGGACTTTGCTTCACGTGTTCAAGTGGTCCTAAATCTTGTTTGCACTTATCCATGCATACCAAACGGAGCTCTAATTACTCTGTTTGATGATGTTTTATGTTTATCCGCGGTTTACTTTTTCTTTTTATTAGAACTGTCAGCGGACAAGCCAATCATTGCCGAACTGAAGAAGTCGGGCAAGCCATTTCTGCAGAATGCGTCGTGTTATGATGTTGCTGCAAAGCTCCCCAAGTGTAGAGAGTGTTGGATGACGCCGAACCAGAGGAAGAAGAAAATGCCAAACAGTCTCTGTCGCTTCTACGCATTCAGAAAGTAAGTTGGAGTGACATCGAAGCAGTGTTCAAAGAGATAAATTTTCACGTTGCTCATTTGGCACACTTTTACTTTCAGGCTACGCTTTGACAAGAATGGCACTGTGCTCAGTGGTGGCTTCTCCGAACCAAGTGATGCTTCAGAAGAAGATTTAAAGCTCTGGTTGCCTCCATTGGATCATGCACCCAAAGACTTGGATGTTAACACTGCAAAAATCATACTGTCCCATGTTGGCAACCAGTTTTGTGATCTCGTGGAGCAAGAGAGGGAAGCGCAGTTTCTATACATGGGCGAAGATAAGACCATATTGTGGAAGCGCGTTGTGCAAGGTGTGCGGGAGCTATGTGATGTCTGTGATACAACTCTCTTCAACATTCACTGGGTGTGTTGCAATTGCGGCTTTGTGGTGTGTATAGACTGCTACAAGGCAAAGAAGAATGGCACAGTGAAAGGTTGGTGATTTTTAACGTGGTTTCATGGTCTGTTATTTACACTGTTTTGCCTTTTCAGCTGAGGACACCCCCCTGAAAGACAAAAATGAGTTCCAGTGGCTCCTGTGTGCCAATCGACAGCCGCACGATCAGGATAAACTGATGATGACACAAATAATACCTAGCACGGCTTTTTGGGACGTCAGCCAGGACCTGCGCCGTAGACGCCATGAGTGGAACAGCGACTGCAAGAAAAACTCCTCTAAAAGTCTCTGCAAGGTGCGTTATAACTATAATTCCTATTAAAAACAATTATCTTATAGAAATTCACTCTTGTGTTGACTACAAGAAAAGCTCCTCTTATTGGCTGTGCAAGGTGGGTTATAACAATCATTACTATTAAAAAATAGATATCTTATAAAAATTCACTCTAGTGTTGGAATACTGTGCTGTCTTTCTGCAGGTTTGGGTTTCATCTTTGAGAACATGCTTGCCTGTACTTGGTGGCCATGAAAGCAGGCAGTTCACCGCAAGGTTACAGGTTGAATCCTTGCTCAAAGGTGCTTGTTTGGGTGCATGTACTGTTGTTCATGGATAGATTACTGTTCCAGATTACTGTTCGTTTCCCAGGTGCGACTATTATTCTTTTAGGCGATTTCAACTTCCCGGACATTCAGTGGTCAGACACTTATCAGCGCTCTATGGCAACGTCATCTGAATCTACCGAATTTCTTTCGATTTGTAACGACTTTGGACTATCACAATTAGTTCAGCATCCCACACGTGTCACCTCGACTACATCATCACTTCTAGATCTCGTGTTGACGTCATCTCGAGATCTTGTGTCCCCGATAACACTGCTGCCTGGGTTAAGTGATCATGACATAATTCATTTTTCTCTATCGTTTCCACGCTTGCGCTCATCCAACCGTTTTAAAATGATCAGAGATTATAACAGAGCCGACTTTAACACCATAAATACTAAATTATGCTCCTTCTTAGATACTTTTTTCCCTGCAAGTTTTGAACGCACTGCAGAAAATAACTGGAACCTATTTAGAAGTAAAATTTTGGAACTAACAAATAAATATATTCCGGTAAGAAAGGTGTACTGCAATAGTAATTCTCCCTGGTACAACCGACACTTAAATAGACTCTCTAACCGCAAGAAAAGACTGTTTAGAGCTGCGAGGACATCCCAGTCTTCGGCTCGATGGCTAGCTTACAAATCTGCAGCTGCTACCTACTTAAGTGAACTAAAAGTGGCTAAATTTACCTTTTTTAACAGAACCTTACCATCAGTGCTGCGAAAAAATCCCAAACAATTTTGGAACATTGTACGAGGTAACAAGCATAGCAACCTGTCTTTAATATCCCAAGGTAATGTAATTCCGGATCATCATTGTGCATGTTTACTTAACCGTACTTTTGCTGAAACTTTCTCTGAACCATTCAGTAGTAATGACATACTTCCTCCAAAGCCGTTTAATTTTCCCTTAATGGACATCATTGTCATTAGCTCGGAAGGAATACGGTCCATCATCAATAAACTAAAGATTTCATCTTCATGCTGCTGCGATGGTATCACCACAAAATTCTTGAAAAACACGGCAGAGTATTTTTCTCTAATCCTTGAACGAATATTCACACAGTCTCTTCTTACGGCAGTGCTTCCTAACGACTGGTTAATTAATAGGGTGGTACCTTTACATAAGTCCGGAACAACCCACGATCCAGGTAACTTTCGTCCCATCTCTCTCACATCAGTACCATGTAAAATTTTAGAACATGTCATTTACTCTCACCTTATCAAGTTTCTTCAAGACAATGATTTCTTTACACCCGCTCAGCATGGCTTCCGAAAACAGTATTCGTGTGAAACACAGCTTCTACTTTTTACTAATGACTTACACATATTCCTTGACTCTGGAACAATAACTGACTGCATCTTTCTAGATTTGAGCAAAGCCTTTGATAAAGTAACACACTCCCTACTACTACATAAACTAAGCCTATTAAACATTGACTCATATGTGCTCGCTTGGATCCGTAGCTTTCTTACTAACCGCTCCCAATACGTATCGGCTATTAATTTCGACTCGTCTACTACACCAGTTTGCTCCGGAGTGCCACAGGTGTCTGTCCTTGGGCCATTGCTGTTCCTAGTTTACATTAACGACTTGCCTAACAATATTTCTTTAACAATGCGCCTATTCGCGGATGATTGTGTAATTTATCGCCAAATATCTAATAATGAAGACATCACTACCCTCCAAACAGATTTCGACTAACGTGCTTAACTGGTGTAAATTATGGCAAATGGAATTAAATGTTTCGAAGTGCAAGTCTATGCGCATATCACGTAATACTACCGCATGTCCAAATTATTTCCTTAACAGCACCGTACTCAATCCCGTCCCCTCTTATAAATACCTTGGTGTCCATATTACTAACAACTTATCTTGGAAACATCATATCAACTCTGTCACATGTAAGGCAAACCGGGTTCTAGGATTCATGCGAAGAAACCTTTACATGGCCCCTGTTGATTTAAAAAAGCTTCTTTACATTACGTACGTTCGTCCGCATTTGGAATACGCGTCATCGATATGGGACCCTGGTAATATCACTTTAGTTAATGAACTTGAGAGCATTCAGAATTGCGCTGTTAGATTTATATTATCAGATTATCGCCGTACCGCTAGCGTAACTAACATGAAATCAATTGTTAACATTCCTTTACTTGCTACACGCCGTAAGATGTCCCGTCTCGTACTCTTCCACCAAATTTACAACAACTCCCTTCTGCGTTCACTTTTAATAACCTTACCGTCATACATTTCAACTCGTACTGACCATGCGCAGAAAGTTGCTGTTCCTCGCTTCAAGACATCAACATATTCCCACTCATTCCTGCCTAAAACTTGCAAGGATTGGAACTACCTCCCACAATCAGTTGCATCCATCACTTCGCCTTGCAGTTTTAAAACATCGCTCGATAACATACTTGGTGTTGGAAATGTAAACGTTTGATTTTGTTGTTAGTTTTCTTGTATAATCTACTGGCTGTATAACATAGTTGCAGTTGATAATAGTTGCTTTCCAGTGTTTAATAATGTTGTAGTGTCTTGTCTATGTATTCTTTTCTTTAACATTGTTCGTCAGTGCCCGCTCTCCTCTGCAATGCTGTAAAGCCCTGAGGGTACGATAAATAAATAAATAAATAAATAAGACACAGGTCTTGGAGCAATCACTAATGGCCAAAAAGAGACATTTTGGCCAAGCTTTTTTTTGGGAAATTTGCACTTCTGAGCACCTCTCAAACTAATGACGCTAAGTTTGGTTGGGAAACGTGATAAAATGGGCCTTCAAAGCGCTAAGGCAGCAGTGAAATGTCCCGAAAAGAACAAAATCTGTTCAAACATTGCGCGCGCCATCAGTGTTGCAAAGGGCCGAGCGCCGCCACCTTAAAGCGAGATATGAAGCAGTTTCCCATAGTATACCGTATTTATTCGCATAATCCTCACGCTTTTTTTGTTGGAAAATTGATGCAAAGTAGGGGGGTGCGAGAATTACCCGGAGAAAACTTTCCACAAAAACGTACAGAGCGAAAAAGAAAACAAAGTGGCCGCAAATCGGGATTCTCACACCAGCAGCTTACAGCAAGCTTTAAGAATACTAATTAGAACTTACCTCAACAATAAAAGCAGAGGTTCAACACAAGGCAAGATTTATTTGAGACACAAAAAGTGCAAGCAAATAGTCGAGAATCAGAATACCATACACGAAGGTTGTGGGCGTTGCGGGCGTAGCGGTAGCGTTCGTCGCTCAACAGGAGCCCTCAAAAGGTAAGCGTAGGACGGCAGTATTGGGCTGATGGCTATTTAACAGAATTGTCCGCAGTTTCCTTCTGAAGAAATAAAGTTTACCATAAATCCCAGTTTTAGGCCCACGGCAGGCCCAATACATCTTGTTGGCTTTGAGCTGCCGTCACCAGTAGCGAACACAAAACTCGTAGACTCCGAAGGGCCTACCGGCGGCCCTGTTGCCATCGTTTAGTGCACGATCTATCACTTGCAACTTGAAGCAGCCGTGTAGCTTCAGTATCACCCAATAATGTGCCAAGATTACCGACACAGCATGCAAAACACGCCGCAATGCGCACTGGCCACTTCTACTAGGCTTGCATTGGATTGAATCTGTGTGCAATAGTAAGTAAGTAAGTAAGTAGGTGCTCCTAATCCCTTTTGGCACAGGGCAGGCGCCAGCAGCGCCACAGGACAAAGTTGTGCGCTTCAACGCACATCCATACACACGCACACACACATCACCAGTCAGGCGCTTGCCGCGCCACCGTCAAAAAAAAAAAAAAACATTTTGTGTTTTACACGCACTTCACGCGAACACGCACTCACACGTTTTCCACTTTACTGTTCGAAGAAAGAAAGGTCTGGTAGTAAATTGCCCGTTTCGCCACCAGGGGAAACGTGCCCTCGGCCAAGTCTATCCAGTGGCGTCGGCGTCGTTTAGATATTTTCTGTCGGCCCTTCGTTGCGCTGGACACTGTCGGGGTGTTTGTCCACCTGCCAGCACAGTCTGTCCCAGAGTTTTAGACGTCGCTTGGCACTCTCGGTGTGTTCGACTCGGGTGTCGACGGGATCATCTGGGAGACCCAGATATTCCGCCAGGTTTATCTTGGGTAGGTCCCTCGCTCCGAGTCGCGGGCAATCCATCAGGATATGTTGGATGGTTTCTTCCGTGGCCCCGCATAGGCGGCACGACGGGTCCGTGTCGAACAGTTCCCAATGCCGCTTCCGCGTGGGCAGTGACCCCGTCCTGGCTTGGAACAGGAGGGCGCTTTCCCGGTCGCCCCTGTAAAATGGCTCACGGTCTGGAGCCTGCTTGTATTCGAGGTATAACTGTAGGCTCCTTTTCTTTGCCGCCGACGTGCGCCACATCTCTGTGCTGGCTTCGGTTATAGTGTTTTTTGTTATTATACGCCATTCTCGTTCCGATTTGCTTCTTCCAGTTTTGTGTTATGGCCGAATTTATTTTCCAGAGAAGCCAGTCGTTTCATCCACTGTGTTTTTATGCCCCTGTATCGGAGGTGTAGGTATATGCGCTGGCTGTAATTTGTTTCTGGTAGAAACTTTAGCCGGCCCGCATATTGTATTTTTGACCTTGCTTCGCGTGCTTCGAAAGTTGACCAGGCCAACTCCCCTGTTACTGCTGCGTTTGCTGTTGCAAAGCTGCCTCCCAGTAGCCAGCGCCCCAGTTCATTTTGGTGGCGGTCCAAACATCGCACTGTTTGGGTAGAGTACGCCAATGTGTCACCTGCGTAGGTTATTGCAGGCACGGCAAGAGTCTTCCAAAGTGTGCGGCCTACCCTGTAGGGGTTGTAGGAATGCCGTGACAGGTGCCACACCCTACCTTTTAGGCGGTTGGATTGTTTTAGGAGTAATTCTTGGTGTTTGTCAAGGTAATTCTTTTGGTCTGATATTGTTATGCCTAAATATCTGTATGTTGCTGTTTTCTTGATGGTGTTGCCTTGGATGGTGAATGTTATGTCTTTGTCATCAATGTTTATGCCCATCCATTGTGTTTTGTCAGTGTTGAATGTGAGGCAATCTTCGTGGGCTACGCGAGAGCATATGTCGAGGAGATGTTGCAGGTCCGCTGGGGATTCAGCCAATAATACGATGTCATCGGCAAATGCCAAGCATGAAATTTTAGTGTAGATTTCTTGGCGCTCAGTTGTTACGGTGGAAAGACGTAGCCCTGGTCCTTCTCTATTTACTTGTTCTAGTAGGCTGTTAATGTAAATATTGAATAATGTTGGCGATAGTGGGCACCCTTGTTTGAGTCCAATATTTTGTTGCACCTGTCTAGATTTATATTTGCCCAGTTCATACACTGCCGTACACTCTGCATATAGTGCTTTTAGTAATTTGATGAAGTCTTCCTCAATATTAATTTTTTCTAGCTTCTCCCACAGTCGTGAGTGCGGCACTGAGTCATATGCTTGTTGTAGATCCAGGTATGCCAGGTATAGTTGAGATTTGTCTCTGTTTTTCATTTCTATTGCCTGGGTTAGGGTAAAGATATGGTCACTTGTCCGTCTGTTTGGGCGAAATCCATTTTGCGATTCTGACAAGATTAAGGTTTTTTCACAGTGGTTTTGTAGCCTGCGATTCAGGATTGTATTGAAGAGTTTCAGAATGCTACTCAGTATTGTTATGGGGCGATACGCCCCAATGTCACTTGTTTCCTTTCCCTTTCCCTTGTGAATCAGCTTTACCCGGCTTTCTTTCCAAGTTCTTGGTATTTTTCTGCTTGCCAGAATGTCGTTGAGGCAGCCGCGTAGCATTTCCTTTGCCTCTGTTTTGAATGCTTTCAGGAATTCGTTGGGTATATCATCGAGTCCTGTTGCTTTCTGGTTTTTTAGATCATTTATGCGTCTCTTTAGTTCTAGTTTAGAAATTGGTCCAGTCAGCTTTTCTTCTTCAGGTGTGCTGGTCTTGTCCTTTTTTCTACTGCTGATCTGGGGTGGTGGATCTACTGGATTGGTTTGCATATTTTTAAAATGTTTAGTTATGTGCTGTTCAATTTCTTCTTTGGTATGTAGAGGAATGCTATTTTCAGTAAGTAGTATGAGTGAATCTTCCTGAAGGGTGTCCTTTGGTTCCAGTGTCCTTATGTATGCCCAAAACTTCTGACTGTAATGGTTACGATCCTTATGCAGGTTTTCTTCTTCTTTTTGGAATTTCTGGTCTATCTTTTTTGCGGCCATTTCCTTTACTTTTCTTTTTTGGGCCAGGTATTCCTTCCAAATTACCTCTTTTTCTGTCGACTCATTGGGCGTATGACGGTGCCTTCTGGATAATTCTTTGCGAATGCGAATTTCTGTCTTCAGTTCTCCATCAAACCAAGGTGTGTTTCTGGTCCTTTTTTTTTCACTAGTTTTCCCAATGGTTTCTTGTGCTACTGACAGGCATTTTTCTGCGAATTCCTCGTATGTTAGAGGTTCTGTTAATGTTGACTCGAGTTTATTGGAAAATTCATCCAGGCGCTCTTGCTCTTTCACTCGCCAGTGAGCTTTTGTAGTTTCAGGCCGGTTTACTCGATGGGGTTGATGGCGTCTGAGGCACAGTTTCATTCGGTTGTGGTCACTTCCACAGCTGTTTGTTTTGTCTTCGTCTATGTACAGAGCTGTGATGTTTATATCTTGCCTTACTACCTCTTGATTGTAAAGTATGTAGTCTATAGCAGATTTGTTAGCTCTGCGTGACCATGTGTAGGTGCCTTCACAAGCTGGATGGAGGTTTGCTATTTGTAGGTTGCATTGTTTAATTAATTTTCGGAAGCCAGCAGCATCTTTTTCGTGACCATCCAATTCTACTATGTGGCAGTTGAAATCTCCCATCAGTAGTACCGGTTGGCCTTTGTAGGTTTCTTCAATGTCTTTCTTGAGGCATGCGTAAATGCTGTCATTCCACTTTTGTTCCTCGAGGCCTGTTGCCATGTATATGACACAAATGTACAGGTCACGTGTGTCAATCTTTATTTTTATCCACATGTGTTCCTTGTCCTGGCAGTCCCCATTTACAGTGCTTCTCTTCGGTGTAATAAAACCAATGCCTCCACCCCGTTTTTGTCCTTTACTTCTGTTCTTTCCTTGCCATACTAGCCCCGGGAGCAGAGGTTGTTCGTCGTCCCGCAGGTGAGTTTCCGTTAGAGCGTAGATATCTATTTTTTGTCTGTTCACTTGGTCTTGGAGTTCAGCCCACTTGAGTTTGTTTGTTCCTTGCATGTTTAGTAGGCATATGGTGAGTTCTTTTTTCACTTCACTCTGCTTTGTTCTTCTGTTTCTTCTTTTTCTGGAAAGTGGTTGACAATGATCTCTGGAGGACTGAAATTGGGGGGGGGTTGTGCGTATGGTTTTGCCTGCTTGGTTGCTTACCAGTGCCGGTTTCTCTGTCCTAGTTTGCCTAGGGCTGTTGTCATTGCTTTCAGTAGCGTTTGATGCTACTGAAAGCAGTACGCTTGATGCTTAAGACGCTTGATGCTTAAGAGATGACGCCAGATGGCACGTGCTATCATCATCAGTGGCTGGAACGAGCAGACGACATTATTGCGACAGTTTTCGGGGGTGCGATAATTACTCGAGGAAAAACAGAAATCGTATTTTTCTTGGGCGATGTGGGGGGTGCGAGAATTATGCAAGTGCGAGGATTACGCGAGTAAATACGGTAACTATTTGGAAAACATTGAAACCAATAGCATTTTTAAATACAGGAGGAAGAATCCTATATACATACATTACTTCATTACAGTATCTTGTAACAAAAATAATTATATTTAACACCAGTGTCTCTCGTAAAACAGTGGTCACCCTGCATCGAAATTGAATTCCAGAGCCAATTTTGAAGTTATTTTCTCCTTCTTCTAGTATTTTTCAGAGTGATGATGTAAAGTTGCTAGTTAATATTAATATGTTCTTGTGTTTTTGACCTTGATCTTGTGTTTTTGCAGCAACTCATGAGTTCCGTCAACAAGCGCTTCTCTGAGAAGGAGAGCAGTGCAGTCAATGATGAAACGGGGCGGGCTGGAAAGCGCGAAAAGCAAGCTGTGAATGACGACGCCAACACGTCCTCTGATGCAATAGGTGGCAGCCATAGCTCTGACAGCATAGGCGCTCTTCTGTCGGCCTTGGCAGATCTAACACTGCACTCCCCTAGCAAAGTTGATGACAAAAGTGATCAGCAGCAGGCGAGTGAAGCTGGTGATGATGAGAAGGGTGAAGATTTTTCTCCACTGCGTGAACTTCGCCCTGCTGGTGGTAGTGCTAAAAAGAGCCAGGTGGATGAAGTAGTAGCAACAGCAGCGGAGCATTTGGTGGACAAGACAGATGAACAGCAACTGGTGCATTTCTGCCAAGGCTTCCCCAGCCCACAAAAGGGCTGTGAAGACTTGCCTGTACGTGGCAGCCTAGCCGATACCTCACTGCTTTACCCCAACGTTCCCCATTCGTGGCTCTGCGATGGAAAGTTGCTTGTACTTCATGATCCAAGGAACAAGCACAACTTGACCATATTCCAGGAGCAGTGGAAGCGAGGCCAGGTTAGTGTATGTGGTGTATTCTCTACATTGAGTGTATTATTGAGCATGCTTTCTGGAGACTACTGCATACCTGGCAACTCTCCCATTTATCCCGGAGACACGTCATTGCTCGGGCATAGTTATACTTTTTCTGTAAAACTGCTCTGACCCCAATGCTTTCCAGAGATACAGCGGTATTCTTCGAACTAAACTAAAGTGATAGAGTGCCTTTGGGTGTACTTTTAATCTATGTAAAACTGCAGCCGTGTTTTGTTATTTGCAGTTAGGGATGTTTTTTTTTCTTTTTCATCTTGATCAGGAACTTGTGATAACACAAAAAGACCCGATTTTTATTTTCTCTATTGTACTGAAAAGTGCCCACCAACCGTGCAGCTGCTGTTATGCTGCAATACTTGGTAGCGTCTTCATGCATAAAAAGTGTCATATGCATACTCTTGCTTTGCAGCGTTTTGCAGTGAACAACGCACTGTGGAGCACTGTTTTAACTTCGTTTGTATGTATTCTTTAAGTCCTTATAATACCCTTCAATATTAATGTGCATTAATGTTCTTTGATCGTTATAAAATTTTTCGTCCTTCGAACATTTATTTTGGGAGCTGCGCATGGCTGAACACACGATGGTAGGGTTGCCCAACTACAGTAAAAGATGCGAGACTCAATGGGGGTGTGCAAATATTCATATCTCGTGAAATTTCGCAGTGTCAATACAACTAGCAAAATCTATTTCTGTCAAAAGAACCCGCGCAGGTCTTCATGGGACACTTGTGAATGGACGGGATAACACAGCTGCTGCCGGAAAAGTGCGGGTCGAAGCTTCGCTTGAGGCCAACTGAAAACTGAACACCAAAGTATTGCCAGAGTGGGCAGATCGGCAGCAACATTACTAGATCCTTCGGACAGAAACACCAAAACGCATCTGGCCTTTTCTACGTCTTTATTGCCATTAATTTACTGCTGTGTTAGCCCCGTGCCTTCGACTAATAGTCTCTGTTGATGATGGTTTCGCCGTGAGTGCGGCATTTGTGGAAAATGTTAGTTTCACTTTGAATCTGCGTTCGCCGTCAAAGCATGTGCTTTCGAAAAAATGACATCCGCATTACGTCCACAGGACAAGCCTGACTGGATATCGAATATCTACTGCATTTCCGAAACCACAGCGGTGGACATTCCTTGCAGGTCGATTTGGCCACACTTACCGTAACCCAGGGTTATCCCTTGCAAGTCCCAAACAAATCCTGCAGGACACACTGTGTACATGACAGGGAGAATAAGGGATGTATTTTATTCAGGATTTTTTCTAAAAGCAGTCTCTCGTAGTTTTTTTTTTACTCTCTGAAGCTGAAATTTCGAAAGCTCAAATCATGAATAACTTTTCGTGTGCTCTTAGGTGCTAATTTAGTTCTTCTGGACATGCACTAATATTTGAAATTAGACTAAAGCACGTACAATTTTTCACCAAAGTGCATTTTTGAGAAGAACTAATCATATTAGCACCTGTAAGCAAAAGAACACCTATGCATGATTTGAACTTCTAAAATCGCAAAACACTTAATAAATGAAATTTGACTGATGGCAACATATAATGCTAAATGTCCGCTTGTGCTAGAGAAACACTGAGCCAAGTGTATTGCATACACATTTTTTATTTAAGAACAAAGCACAAAACACATGCATTATGCACTGCGACTAGATGTTGCTTACATACATAATCGTGTTTAAGTGTACAATAAGGCGGAATTGAATATTGAAAAAATATGAATATACAAGTACCGCAGATACTACAAACGAGAAAAAAAGAAGCTGTGGTATAACAAAACAGTACATGCCATCCCATTAGATACGTGAGTATCAGCTGATTATCATATTCAGTAGGGTCGTGCACTGGCTCAGACAGCCAAGGTATTCTGGCACTTAGCCTGAGAAGGCGGGATTAAATCAGAGCTGATGTACCACATTTTGTTGGAGGCATGTTAACAACTACATTAATTTTAATCATATGCCATGATATGATTATGAGGTTGCCCTAGTGGAGGGCTAAGGCACTTTTTATAATTTGGTGGTGTTTAAGGTGTACAGATATTACACATGTGCCTTTAGCATTTTACCTCCACCCGCATGGGACAGCCTCTGTGAGGATTGCACGTAAGACCTTGAGGTTAGCAGCAAAGTGCTGTAGTCGCTACACCATCGCAGCAAACACGCTTAGTGCCATTGTGCCTACGTGCTTTCGTTGTAAAGTATCTCATACTACCCCAGGAGGTAAAAGGTAATATAAAGCCCTCCACTATGGCACCTAATTCATTATAGTTTTTGAAAGTGAAACTACAGTATATATTGTTCAAAATTATGCTCTTTGACAAAAGGTAAAGCGCAGTAATATGGCTCGGGACAGTGGGGCATGGCAGCAGCAATTTCTGCACTAAATTTGAGAAGTCTACTAAGAATGTCACAAAAGCGGAATACTTGCACTATTAACAAAAAAAATAAAAGGTGACCCTCCCTTGCAAGTGGTAGTACATGTAGTTGGTCACATAAAGCACGTTTTGCTTTCTGAAAGGTTGTAACCATATAAACACATTACCAATATTATAAATCTGTCAAACAACAGATCTGGTTTTGTGCAACTGTAAGAAGAGCAAGTTGATAGTTCAGCACTCTGTTCTCGTCTCTTCTATCCCCTCCTGTCGTTTGCACTGTTAAGCACTTTCTTCGTCTACCATGCAGCACCAACTAGCCCAATCAAGCCCTTTGTTAAAGAGGAAACCGATTGCAACACACAGAAACATTTAACAATCTCATAGGCAATTGCAAAAGTCAGGTATATATTAATTTGCACCACCTATCTTTCTTTACATACTATATATATATATATATATATATATATATATATATATATATATATATATATATATATATATATATATATATATATATATATATATATATATATATATATATATATATATATATAGAGAGAGAGAGAGAGAGAGAGAGAGAGAGAGAGTGAATCTTGTGTCTCTTACATTCTATTTTGCTTGAAACTTTTAACTACTTTCTCTCGATCATAAAAACAGCGCAAGAACAGCAGATGAATGACAAGCATTTGTCTCAACAACAAACTTGTCCGACTTACTAACGTTATGCGCTTTCTCTGCAAGTGAAATGTCAAAACTACTGAGTTGAAAAGAACTCTTGTTTCTATGCCTGATTGCAGCTCACATAAGCCACCATAATAAGATCTCAACATTCAGGTGTGTAAGCTAAATATGCTGTCCAAATATGCCAGCAACAATGCAATGGGTGATAGAGAGATTTGCTTGAAGAAATAAGTGCAAAAAGAATCATACTAGGCAGGATACTAAGCAGGAAGTGCAATTTTCCTTTGCCACGTAGCTAAATGTAATTTGTAGCCAGATTATCTGAAAGCACATCTGATTTCATTCTCTTGGCCGTGTGTGGCAATCCAACCGCACCAAATTTTTTCTAACGTGTTTTCTGTAATAGCAACAAAACACAACACTTGCAGAGAGAGGTGGCCTGCTAGTACATAAATTGATCCAGACAGAAAATTACTTAAATGAATTCCAGAGCTAAAAATTTTAAATGATTTTCATCCACACGTTTGTTTGTCATTATAGAATTGTGCCCTGAAAGTTACAGCAGTTTGAGACTTAATTTGTGCAACTTTATCCACTACTTGACAGAAACAGTCCCCTTCCCCTACTTCTCTTAACCGGCAAAAAGTGATATTAGGTTTTCTTACTTTTTTTTAAAACTCTTCTCCACACCTTTCTCAGTGCCAGTCACGAAAAACATTAAAATAAAAGCCTGTTAATTTGACTGCCAAGGTACCAGCAAAATTATCCAAATTAAACAAAAGCTGAATTACCCAAAGTACTAAGAACACAACAAAACAACTCTATTACAGATAGCGTTTTCATTTCCTCGATGAACACGTATATCGAGTGCCTATTTTGCATAAGAGCGATGTAAAAGTTGCCACTTTCGTCATTCAAAACAATCATTCGTGAGTGCGGCTAAAACAACATAAGCACATGAAACACTTTTTTGCCGCAATGATAGCTGCACACTTACTATTCATCCACATGAATTCCCTACAACAGCAGAGAACACCTACTACTTGACAACAGCTGAAGATCGTGCGGAGAGCAACAATATTGTGAGCTGGCTGCGACACCTCTAACATGGCACCAAAAACAACAGGCCCATGAAACACCTGCAGGTATCCCGTTTCGGCACATTGTAAACACAGTACCACAAGTTCGAGGACGATTAACTTACCTCTGTATCCGTTATGAGACCTTTCAGAGTTCTCAACTTCCACAGTATCGCAGTACAGAAGCTAAACCACGAAACTCAGACTATGAAGGGGGTAGAAATCTTGTGCATCACTCGTGCGCATATAGCTGCTTAGAATAAAAAAGGCAAAACAACACAACTATGGCAAATTATTTTGCTAAAGTTTAGTAAATGTAAATTTCATGTTTTATTTAACAACAAAAATCTTATGAGTTAATTACTAAAAGCAAGTAACAGTTGCATTTTTTTCAATGTTTCAGGTATTGAAAGACTTATGAAATGGCGCAGTGTTTAAACAAAGTTGATGGAAATTTTTGTCATTCACCAACGCACACAGCTTTCCCGTTTCCAAGACATGAAATTTCAAATACATAATCTGTATGCTGAAAATATACCTCGTTGGTATTGTTTATTATTCATTTTTATATTTATATTTTCATCAGTTTTTTTTTTTTGCTTCACTCGATGATCATCTATGAGTTAAGCAAAGTGTAGCTAGTTTTATTTTGTGTGCGATGGGCGCCAAGCCGCAGCCAGAATTACCAAAGCAGGTTGAGGACGCAAAATTTGTACGGAACTACATTTTTTTACGAACGTCTGAGGATATTTTTGAATATCCATTGTGTGAAATTATAAACTCAGGTAGCAATGAATGTCCATTTGCTCTCGCTCACAGGTCCGTTAATGTCCGCGGATGTTCGGAATCCTTTCGGATGTCCAACAGATATTGTGTTTTCGTTTGGTTTTTGTTATCCTTAATTGCATATGCTGCAGTTTTGTTCGCCCGCGTTTGTTTAAAGCGAGGTTGCTTTGACTAGTTGAGCATTGTACGCGGCCCCGCCGCGGTGGTCTAGTGGCTAAGGTACTCGGCTGTTGACCCGCAGGTCGCGGGTTCGATTCCCGGCTGCGGCGGCTGCATTTCCGATGGAGGCGGAAATGTTGTAGGCCCGTGTGCTCAGATTTGGGCGCACGTTAAAGAACCCAAGTGGTCGAAATTTCCGGAGCCCTCCACCACGGCGTCTCTCATAATCATATGGTGGTTTTGGGACGTTAAACCCCACAAATCAATCAGCATTGGACGCGCGTGAACCTTCGGAGTTCTGCTTTGTGCTCATTAGGGCGAGTTTTCTTAGAATGTGTTGTATTCTATAGATATAAATTACCTCTTTTTACGATACTGGACGTAAAAGACACTGTGGGTAGGCAGGATAAGCGCTGCTTATTAAAGGTAACTGACTGGATTCTAAGAGGAGGGAAATGGGTGAGTGGGCGGGGGATGATTAGGTGGGCAGATGAGATCGATTAGTTTGCAGGTATAACGCATATCCAAGAGCCACCAGAATTGTCCGAATTGAAACTGTGATTGATAAGAAAACTGGTACATAATATCCTAATTATGAGAGACTCTTCATAAAAAAGTAAAAAGTTGCTCCCTCTTGCATGTGTCTGTGAAAGGGTTCAGTTATAGAAAGAAAAATGGTTTGTTGCTGCGATGAAAGTGCATGTGCTAGTCATAATTTCAGGATTTATTGCTTTGCTTGCCGCGATCATTGCTGCTCTTTGATTCATCAACAGTAAGGCTGGTGGTATTTTAAGGTAATCTTGACATATGCTAGAAGAATAAAAAAAATTCACTCTCGGCCTTGCTTCTATGAAACACTGAAGTGAATGTGTTCAGCCGTTCACTTTTAAACGCCTTCAAAATACACAATGAGCATGCATCTGCCACCTTGACACCGTAGAAGAAGGTTTCATTGACTTTTTGCGGTTGTGTAGTGTGGTTGGCAGCTATCGTTTTCAGCCTCGCTTTCAAGAAGCTGCTTTGAACAAATTAGTGTTAGATATAGAAAAGATTCGGTAAGTGTTAGGCTTTATAATTTCAGTATTCCTTATCGGTTATGCTTTCTATTGAAGCTTCGTAATAGTTATTATGTAGTATAAGATAAAATGCAATGTTTTTCAATATTACATTGCTTGAAGGTAATATTCAGAATATGGTAATAATGGTAATCCAAATTTGCTTTGTGCTTCTTTTGCAGCCTGTGCTGGTCACTGGTGTTTCTAAGAACTTGAATATGTCACTGTGGCACCCCGACTGTTTTTGCCGAGATTTCGGTAAAGTACGAATCGACCTGGTGAATTGCCGAAATGGCAGCATCCTTCCAAACCAGCCTATGCGGAAGTTTTGGGAAGGCTTTGAGAACTTGAGCAAGCGCATGAAAGATATAGATGGAGAATTTATGCTGCTGAAGCTGAAGGACTGGCCACCTGGTGACGACTTCAGCGACATGCTGCCCAGCAGGTTCAATGATCTCATGAAGGTGTTGCCACTACCAGAGTACACTCACCGGGATGGAGTTTTCAACTTGGTTGGGCGGCTGCCAGAATGTTTTGTTGGGCCGGACCTTGGGCCTAAGATGTACAGTGCCTATGGTACGTTCATTCCCTTTTTTTACTGCTTTGTTCTATCACCATAGTGTGTGTATGTGTGAAGCCACTGAAGAAGGGGTTTAACAGAAGACTTGGCACATTGTAAGCACAAAACGGTCCTCACTGTACCATAATTTGGAAGTAGCAGTTGGGTCTATCTGCACAAGCTTGGTACCTATATATTTTCACCCATAGTGAACACTCGTGTGCCTTGTGAGTGCAGCTTTGCTGATCAAGAAGCAAATGCTAACTGTATACGACTGTTCTCAAACCTTCCGCAAAAATGGCAGACTGCCACTTTTTTTTCTTTATTGAAAACAACAGGTGGGAGCACTTTCTAAGTGCATGTCACCGCTGCTTATAGCACTGCACCATGCAAGGAAAATTCAAATGCCTGAAATAGGCAGTAATGCCAGATGCGCATCAGTTCTTTATATGACCGTCACAACCTCGCGGGGTTTGCACTGCTAGATGGCACTATGAATGTCCTGTACAGTTTCTACAGTTATGGCAATAGATGCACAGTATGTTGAAGTAAAGCATAGCCATCATAGCAAGAAGGCTGCAGCCACAGTTGCCAGATGCTACATAACTCACAAGTGAATAATCATCACAAACAGGAATAAAAAAAGCAACTTCTTTGTTTATTTTAGGGCAGTAATATGTGAATTAGATTGATTCAGGCCTTGCAACAGTAACTCAGATTATTTCTTGCAAAATTTGGCGTTTTTTTACTAGTCTTATCTTGCTTCCAGCTGTAACGTATCACCGATGCAGGGACACTCTGAACAAAAGCTTGTTGACAATGTTGCCGTCGCAGTCTGTTCGAGGTCTGTTGTGGCTTCAAGCAAGGGAACATTACGTCCAGGTGCACAGCTGGGCGACCTCAAAACGACGTATTCCGCTCGTTAAATACTGAAAGTTTGGATTTTTAGTTGTCACCAGTACCCGACGCTTTTCTCGGACACTCCGAATTGCTGCCGTCTTGCCGTGTTGTTATTCGCTTTCACGAATTTAATGACTTTTCCTTTAAACGTGGCCGTGAACTTGCACCGCGTCCCGGTATACATAGCTTGCCGCAAGGCAAGGTCGCCACTCACTAGGAACACTGAATGAACAACAAAAGAAAAATGGCGTCGGCAGAGAACGCGTCGGGTTAGGCCTAAGGAGGCGATGTCGATAGTGATGTCCAAGAAGCATGCGACACTACTTGTTGCCAGATGATCACTCAATTTATGCCACGAACCGGTATCTCCACCTATATTCCGCACTATACGGTATTTGTACAGTCTTGAGGGGTGGGGCAGTAGCAAAGTGGGCGAAATGTGGTAAAAGTATCTTATCCTGCAAGTGATCTGCAGTGCTTCCAAAGGCCCAGTGAACCGGTTGTGTCACGAAACTGTCTCTGCAGGAATCTCTTGATCTTAGCCATTCGGTGTTACAGCTCTTGTAAGAAAAAAAAAAACCTGAAGAAATCAATTGATTCGATCACTTTGTACTGTTGATCACTTGTTTGCACTGCCATCGAGTGAGATGTATCCGTGCAAGCTGACACCATGCTCATTAAACACTATGTGCAAATGGTTTGTTAGACAGGCGGCCAAGAAAAACACTCTTTTATAACTGTTGCGTTACTGTGGCTATCGGGGCTTCAGCTTCCCTGAGATTATTACTTCATTGCAAACAACAGCACGAATTGACTGGACAAGAAAGTAGTTGGACTGGTACTTGGCCCATTCGTTTGCATTATTTTGTGCCAGAAACTATACCAATTCAAATCCTCTAACTATTAAACTACTTGACGAATTCTACATGAATTTTACATTTTTATATTAGACTGCAAAGTCACTGAAAGTATTATTTACGCTGTACTCCTTTTAAGCAAACAATCGCAGGAAGACTTTTGTGCGAATAGAACTGTAGAGTGAAACATTGTTCTTGTCGTGGTTTTATTTTGCTTTCTCTATCGAACTAACAACTTTCAGTTGTTTTACCCAGTGGCTTTAACTCTCATTGTTTCTGTGCTTGCAGGCTCTGCGCTTTACCCGAATAAAGGCACTACCAACCTACATCTGGATGTCAGCGATGCTGTGAATGTTATGGTTTATGTTGGAATTCCCAGGGATGGGAAGTATGAAGAACACATCAATGGTACTTCTGCCAGTTTTGTTGATTAAGTGCCTGCAATACAGCAAAATCTCGTTAATTTGACCCTCGTTAATTTGGAATTTCGGTTAATTTTGTCCTGGCGTCTGGTCCCATCCATAATATACATTTTTCGATGACTGAAAGTTCACATCAATTCGGATCTATTCGTCTGTTTTTTGGTTAATTCGAATGCCCGACTGCGGTCGAGTCACGACAAGGAAGCAGGAGGGGATTCAGCCTACCTTTAGGGGGAACATGCCTTTGAGAATGAGCTTTCTTGTTTCTGGTCGGATGATGATGAAAATCGGCACAGACACTAACAATGGCCTCACCGTGCATCCAAAAAAATTTCGAGGCGATAGCACAAATACCTAATGAGAGACAAATTATTTTTCAATTGAACCTCGTGGAGGGGCTGGAGGATTTATAAAATGACAAAAATGGTTGGTAATTGCTGTATCCACTGCCAAATGTATGTTGAAGGGGGCTGCGTTCTCAAAATAACTTATTTGTAACACTAAAACTTGTAGTTTACGTTTTCTCCAGCGACACTGCAATGAGTACACTTGCACTACAAACAAGAAACTCTATAAAAAATTCTTTAAGGAGTACAATGAAAAACTAAGATCGCCGCCCCCTGAAGCACAGTTCAAGGAGCATTACAAAATAAACGGAATCAAAATCCGTACAGTGGTTGCCCAGATATCTGCTCCACGAGCTGAGTATGATGCCAAAAAAACAGTATTGAAAAAACTGCATTTAAAGTTTCAACTTCTTTTTACGTCTCTGAAACACCTAAAGATTGTGATCTTAGGTTTGTCTTGTGATATTTGACTTTTCAGGTATCTGGTCTCTGACCAGTGTGCCTTGGTTGTCCTTTTTTTTTCCCCCATAATTTACTTTTCATGTTTTACAAAGAACAAGTATGGATTTCAAACCAAGTTCTTTGTATGAAGGAGTGGTGTGATAGGCATGACAGAAAAGATTGTAATTGAATGAGACCATATACTGAATTGATTACACATATTTCTTGTGCCTAAGTTGTAATTAGCGTAATTACGTTCTTGATTATAAGTATTCACTGAACATTTCTTTATTTAGAGAGAGGTTTATTGCATCAGAAAAATGAATCACACCATGACAGCCTATGCCTTCTTTCCAAATAACAAAGTTATGGGCAGAAAACTGGTGGCACAGGAATTTTTAGCAGTATATTTAATGACGTAAAACGGGCATATAAAAATTCTTGCCCCTGATTCATACGTGCTCTTTTGCCGCTCTAGCTGTGAAACGCATCATCATACAGCCGGTCGAGGAAACTCTAATCTACAGCAATTCATTAACCTCGGAACATTCATAGATGTTGGTGGCGATATTAAGCACGGCTCCAAGCACGTCTGAATCGCATCACAAAAGCTTATTGACAACACTCCATATGATCGTGGGGTGCGCGGCCGCGCGGACAGTGCAGCCGGCGCGTAATGCACTTGCCGGCGGCGTTCGATGACGATGTGAGAAATATGTAACTACGAAGACAAAAAATCGGCACGCACTGCACTTGGCATCGCATTTTCGAATGACGACGCGCGAAACTGCTAGCCGCTGTTCTGAGCAATCCATGGCAGTGAAGGGGGGGGGGGGGGGGGGGGCTGATGAGCTTGACTGTGTTGTTCGCTGCCGATGCGTAAAATGCCCGTACGCGATTCAGAGGAGCTAGCGAGTGATGTGGTACATTACTTGCAAAGAAGCACGTCGCCAAGAGTGCGCTTGCGCGTCGCTCCTGCTCGCAGTCTCGCTGTCAGAGGAGTTAGGCCTAAAGCCGACTCCGATGACGCGCCGCACTTGTAGACCGCCGCGCGCCCGCTCGTAGTAATCTGATGGTGCATCCGGTGCGGCCACTCGTAGCAATCAGATCGTGCCGCCGCTTTCAGCTTCATTGCTTGCAAAGAAGCACGTCGCCACGAATGCGCTAGCGCGTCGTTCCTGCCCGCAGTATCGCTGTCGGCAGAGTTAGGGCTAAAGACGACTCTGATGACGCGTGGCGCTCGTAGACTGCGCTCTCGCTCGTAGTAACATGATCGCGCATCCGCTTAGTGCTCGTAACTAAAGCGTAGTTATATCTTAAGTGATTATCAAGCCGTGAACACGTCACGAAGTGGCGATTTTCGAGAGCCATGTCCTCGCGACGCACAAGCAGCAGACGACGATCTCCCGGAGCGAGCATCGGGCCAATGGCGAGGCGAGCTGAGGCAACATGGCGGCCACAGCCAATCAAGGGCCTCAAAACGACCTTCAAACATTTGCTTTTGGCTCGCTTATTGTTGAAGGGAGGAGCCAGCTGAGGCAGGAAAGTTTAACACAAAGAAATGCTCTTTCCGATGAGCCCAAGAAGTCGGCTCCCGGCCCAAGCATCGCGAAGCTATCGAATAGTAGCGCATCCCAAGCTAGAAGAAGTGCTGTTGCGCTGGATTGCCATTTCGGGCGATGTGCGTTTGTCTTTGCACGGCCCCCTTATCTGCGCACAAACAGAGAAGTTCGCGGTGACCATGAACATTGGCTCTTTCAATGCGTCGGAAGGCTGGTTCGAGCGCTTCAAGAAACGACACGGGCTAGTATTCTGCAACGTGTGTGGTGAAAGGAGTGTTTGACAAAAGCGTTGTGTGGGACTGGCGGTCTGGATATCCGCGCGCCTTTCTACGTACGAGCCGTATAACATTCTCAATGCTGATGAGACAGCGCTCTTCTATAAGGCTCTGCCTGACAAGACAATCGCCTGTAAGGGGGACCTGTGCATCAGTGAAAAACGAAGTAAAGAGCGCGTGACTGTTCTTCTCGCTACTAACATGACCGGCACAGAGCGACTGCCGCTGCTGGTGATCGGGAAGGCTGCGAAGCCAAGATGTTTGAAGAATATTAAGCAGCTGCCTGTTGACTACCGGTTGAACAGAAAGGCTTGGATGACTGCCGAACTCTTTCAAGCCTGGCTGCGTCAGCTCGACCGCCGCTTTGTGGCCAAAGCTCTGAAAGTTTTCCTGCTAGACAACTGTAGTGCACAGACGAAGGTGTCTCGGCTCGAGAACCTTGAATTGTTACTTCTGCCTCAGAATACAACGGCTTCGCTGCAACCGATGGACCAGGAAATCATAAAGTTCGTGAAAAGCCGCTATCGACGCAGGTACTTGAGCGTATGTTTGTCTGCATGGAGTCAGGCAAGCAGTACGAAGTAAGCATGCTAAGCGCAATCTGCATGCTGACATACCTGTGGAACAACGCACCGCCTGAAATAGTCGCAAACTGCTTTAGGCATAGCGGCTTTGTGCACGACGCTGCTGATCCGGGGGTAGTGGCCGATGAATAAATCGTCGTACAGCAAGACGACCGCTATGTGAGCATCATGCCAGGTGATGTGCCCCTGGGCGATTACTTTGCAATTGACAGCAATGTTGCCGTGGCCGACACAGTGACTGATAGCGATATCGTCGCCGAAGTCTTGGATGGCGAAGGGGAATCTGCTGACAAGGACGTACGTGATGCTGACAAGCGTCCATGCCACACTATGACGGTGGCTGCGCTTGCGTTGGCTGTTTTGGAGGACATATGGGTGCTTTCCTTGGACAATGTGCGTGGACTGAGCCACCTGCAGGAACTCCGCAAAATTGTGATTCGTGAAGCAAACCGCGATCAGACGTTTTTAAGAAATATAAAAGTCTGATGGTGTATGAGATATTTTTCAAGTGTTTTGTTCGTACTCACAATAATTCGTACCATTGGTTAATTCGGGCATTCTCTCCGGCCCCCGAAGTCCGAATCAACGGGGTTTTACTGTAGTTATTGGCCACATTACTAACAAACATACCTCATACTTTTTCCAGCTGCACTGAATGCAATTGATGAAGGTGCATGTGATGCCCTGACACGAAAGAGGGTGAGAGAAAAAAATGCCAGACCAGGAGCTCTTTGGCATATCTTCAATGCCCGTGATACTGACAAGATCAGAGATCTGTTTATTAAGGCAAGTCATGTCTCCATGTTTACACGATTACCACTCTGTGTATAATTTGCTTTTGTTAATGCAAAGTGTACCATGTTTAGAAGCAGCTTTTGTACCGTGCTCTACTGTTGCTTTTAGTAACAGTAGACTATAGTGGTACCACTATCATGTGCTGTAGTAGCGCAGTGGTTACAGTGCTCAACTATCGGCCCCAAAGATCACGGGTTGGATGCCAGGGCCAAGTTTTGATACAGCTGAATGCTGAAAGCTTGTGTACTGTGCGATTATTTATTTTTATTTATTTATATAATACTGCAGACAAAAAGTCCAAGCAGGGTGAGCATACATGAAACACACTAAATAACAGAATGAAACAAGGTTGCAAAGCGTTTTTTACACAATTTCTTTGCATATAAGACAGAGGGGTAAGGTGACAATACAATTCAAGGAAGTCATGGAAGAACAGTATTTACACAAATGGTCAAGGGCGTTGAGAAAAATACTTCGGTTAAATTATTCCAATCATCTATTGTTTGTGGGAAGAAGGAGTACCGAAAAGTATCAGTCCTTGCGAAGATTGGCGTTAGGGAATGAGGATAGTGGTGTCGAGTGGGTCTGCTTAACAAGGGGGATACGTATGCTGCGGTGTCTAAGGGTATCCTGTGGTTTACTATGTCTGAAAGAAACTGTAGCCGACTTTTTTTTCTTAGAATTTGTAATAGTTCTATACCATTTGCCGTTAGTAATGCAGTGGGGGAGTCAGTTGACATAAATTTACTATATATGAATCGTACTGCTTTTCTTTGAATTCTTTCTAGGTTTTGAACGTTAATTTTTGTGTGAGGATACCAAACTATGGAGGCGTACTCAAGTTTAGGCCTAATTAAGGAAAAGTAGGAGAGGAGTTTAACACTAGGCGGAGCAGTCTTGAGCTTGTGGTGGAGAAGGCATAATTTATGGAAAGCGGCAGAGCAGATGTTATTTATGTGCAAATTCCAGGATAAGGTACTTGTTAACGTTAAGCCTAAGTATTTATGGGAGGCTACTTTAAGTAAAGGTGCTTCAGCTAAATTGTATGTGTAGTCTAATAGGACTTTTTTGTGCGTTATGGGGAGATACACACATTTGTTTGTATTAAGAAGCATTCCCCACTGTTCACACCATTTTGATACATTGTCTAAGTTGTATTATGATCACATTGGTCACTAATGCAGGTTACACCTCTAAACAAAACACAATCATCAGCAAATAGACGAATTTGTACCGGGGTGCTAATTACATTGACAATGTCATTAATGTAGACCAGAAACAGAAGGGGGCCTAGTACGCTCCCCTGTGGAACGCCAGAAGTCACCGGAAGGCAGCCCGATTGTTTTTCTGCTACCTGAACATATTGGTTGCGATTGAGTAGATAAGCTGAGATCCAGGAGATAAATAATTCTGGTATGGCAACTAACCGAAGCTTTATAATTAGTTAATCGTGTGTAATACCCCTGTCACACGGGCACCCGTGAAGATCGTTTAACTCCCTCGTCTTTACGACAACGAAGATGTGGTTGGTGTCACACGGCCACCCTTACGCAAACGAAGGTGAACGGAGCATTTCGCAAAGGACGTTCAACGATCTCCCTTCGCAGCGAGACGAGGTACTCTCGTCCTCAGCAGTCTAGAGGTCAGAGAAAAATTTCGAGCACTAAGTGGCCGCAGTGAAAGAATAATACATTTCAGCAACATTAAACGTTCTTTCGTTGTAGTACTCATTCACAACGCGTGTTTGTTTACAATATTTACGCCCGCCAGAGTTCACTTACTCTCAACACCGATGCCCTACACGCCGTGCCTCGCGAGTCGGGCCGTGTGAGCCTGATCGGGAATCTCTCGATGGGTACTAAACCGCGTGAATTACATTATCTTACAAGACTCCACTCAGTTTGAGATGGGGAGATACACACATTTGTTTGTATTAAGAAGCATTCCCCATTGTTCACCCCATTTGGATACATTGTCTAAGTTAGTATTAAGATCACATTGGTCACTAATGCAGGTTACACCTCTAAACAAAACACAATCGTCAGCAAATAGACGAATTTGTACCGGGGTGCTAATTACATTGACAATGTCATTAATGGAGACCAGAAACAGAAGGGGGCCTAGTACGCTCCCCTGCGGAACGAACGCCAGAAGTCACAGGAAGGCAGCCCGATTGTTTTTCTGCTACCTGAACATATTGGTTGTGATTGAGTAGATATGCTGAGATCCAGGAGATAAATAATTCTGGTATGCCAACTAACCGAAGCTTTATAATTAGTTTATCGTGTGGAACTGTGTCGAATGTTTTACTGTAGTCTAAGAATATTACATCAATTTGGCCGTTAGCATCAAGACAAGTTGCAAAGGTATGAACGATAGTAACCAATTATGTTGTAGCAGAAAATCCTTTTCGAAACCCATGTTGATGATTTGTTAAAACTGAGCGTTCTTCTAAGAATTCATTTAATTTATGAGCTATTATGTGTTCGATAAGCTTACAGCATGATAATGATAAGGAGATCGGTCGATAATTTTGTAGTATTAGACGGTCACCTTTCTTGAATATAGGAACTATTCGTGCCGACTTCCAGTCATCTGGCAATTCTGCTGACAACAGAGAGACTCGAAAAATGACGAGTAAGTATTTTGCAACAGACTCTGCAAAGCGACGCAGAAATATGTTGATGATATTGTCGGGACCGCAAGAAGTCTTAGTCTTTGAGTACAACAACCTAGCAACGACACCAGAATAAGAAATAAAGTTTACATTTGCAGCATTGTCCGCATTTATGACAGATGGGGAAGCACTAGGAGTAGAAAATACACTATGAAAATACTCATTGAGGTGTTGAGCATGGGCAGCGTGATTAGATACCATTGAACCATTGACAAAAACCTGTGATATGGGTTTCTTTCTTTCGCTAATATAGTTCCAAAACTTCATTGGATCATTCTTTATGAAGTTTGCGAGGAAATGAGCACGCTTGCATCAGCCGATCTTGAACCTTTTCACTATCTTGAATTTTTTCCCGCCTGCCAGTAGTGTCAGTCGCTGGGATGCAGCATATGAGTGAGGTTGTGTGTAGTGCTCCAATCTGTTTTTTATTGCAAGAAAAATGACAAAGCTACGTGAGCGGCACCCTGCATCAAACTTTGCCAGAAACTGGGCGACAGCCAAGTGCAAACTATTCAGGAAACCGTTCGGAAGAGCAAGATGGCTTTACGTGACGACGCTACGAGCCGTTCTTAGATAAAGGAAAGGTACAACCGTTTTAAAGATGGCTGCACCGTCGTGTGACTTTCCGGGAAATTGTGGAAGAGATGGGCATCAGCACTTTCTCTGAACATTCCATTATGAATGAAGATTTGGCCATGAAGAGACTTTCAGCAAACACTTGTGCCAAAACTGCTCACGATGGAACAAAAGCAACTTCGTGTTGAAGTATTGCAGGACATGCTGGATTTCACAAGCAGTGACCCTAAATTCATGAACACCATTATCACTGGTGACAAGGCTTGGTGTATGGGTATGACCCGGAAACCAAATCCCAGTCCTCGCAGTGGAAGCATTCCACGTACGCCAGAACTAGAGGAGCTCCACCAAGTGCGCAGCAACTTGAAAGTGGTGGCTTCCTGAAAGTGGTGACTTGATAGTGGTGGCTTGAAAGTGGTGACTTGAAAGTGGTAACCTGAAAGTGGCTTTCTGTGACTTCTGCAGTGTGGTAATCCATGAGTACACACCACAGGATCAATCCCCAAAGAGTATTACAGGGACGTCCTCCATCGCCAATGTGATGCTGTGCGGCGCAAGAGACCCGAGTTTTGGTCAACAGCAAACTAGCGCATCTATCA